CCCGTTCTGCGCCGCCCTCGTGATGCTGCGGTACTTGTAATTAAGGAACGAGTTGCCGGCTACCATCGTCGTGATGAGGACCGCTCCTAGAATAAACGTCAGGAGGTTGGCCACGCTGATGACGTCGGAGTAGATGAGCTGCGGAATCCCGGCGAAGAGCAAGATCACGCCCACAGACCCGACGACCGAAAGCACACACTGCGCCGACGAGTACAGGGTCGCGATGTTTACGGTGGTGAGTGCCATTTTTTTATTTCTCGATTTCTTATCTTTTCTTTAAGTGGGCTAAAGTTTTATTACTATCTTTTCTTTGAAGGCTTTTCTTGGATGTCTAATCTTTATAAATACAAATGAAGTGAAACGAGCTCAAGGTTCCCAGCTCAACGAGACTCCGACAGCGGGGACGCGGAACATCACAAGGCAAGACATGTCTGCTCGTGTTTCACACCTCGCGTCGGCCGTGCACTTGGTTTCAAAAGTTCTTTCAGTTTTATTCGAAGCTATCTGTTGTTCTGGGAGAGTGTGGTTTCCCCCAAAGAAAATCTTCAACGGCTGCAGGTGTCCCCGTAATTCTGAAAGATAAATAGGCCCTCATTAACATATATGTATTGGTGTTCCTTTCATAATCAATGAATTTTAATTTCCAACTGATGCTTCCTAATTCTACATCTGCATATATATATACATTCACACACATATCGACACACACACACACACACACACATAATGCATACATGCACACGCACACACATTTATGTGCGTTGTGTGCGCACACACATAAAAAGAAAGATATAGGGACATATACACACTCACACAGGTACTACATTTAGATGTAAAGTAGTAGATATAAATACTCTCGTACCATACTGTACCCCAGTCTTGGCTTGACACACAAAATAAAAACAAGCTGAAACCGGACAGTGCAGAAAATAGCATTGACAAAATCCCGAACCACACTTACTTAATGAGGAAACACATTTAGAAATGACACTTGTAAACCCTCTCTGGTTTATCTATAGAGATTTGGTCACCATTTTATCTAAATAGGCCCTATATTTTTTTCTTCTAATTCTAACATTTACATCTTCGAACTCTTCTTTTCATATCCGTATACATTTACGTATGGTATTACACACACACAAACATAAATGTGTGCATATACATATAGGTATACTGTACATACAGTATACACTATATTTTCTTCTGCTATCTCAAATACTTTTTTGTCGTAAACAAGAATAAAGACAATATTTATGGGTTTTCCGTAACGCAACCAGGGTATATGTACTTTTATACACACACACACACACACACACACACACACACACACATATATATATATATATATATATATATATATATATATATATATATATATATATATATATATATATATATGATATATATATATATATATATATATAATATATATATATATATATATATTATATATATTACATGTGTGCTCGTAGGCTTGTATCAATAGGCCATGCATCTCCCTTTTCACTTGCGAGAAGCCTTGTTCTCAGGAAGGAAATCGCAGCCGAAATGTCACTTCCTCGAGGACTCACAAACCCCAGGTCACGTGACACCCGCCCTTCACTCCGTCGAGAGTATCCGGTACATCCCTTCCTCTCTCCTCTTTCTTTTCTTCCTCATTTCCTTTTGCCATTTTTTCCCTATTTCTCCTGTTTCCTCTCTTCTCTGTCATTCTTATTTTTCATCGATTGGCTCTTAATTATCAATTTCGTTTTCTCTACGTTCTTCCTTCATTTAATTCTCCTTTCCCTTCTCTATCTGGTCCTCTTTTCTACCCCCCCCCCCCTTTTTTTTTTGGACAAGAACCATTGCCCGTTTACTTGCATATAAAGGTGTTCGTATACCTGTGTGCGTGCATGTGTATGTACATACATGTGTGCGTAAGTGTATGCGAGCGTGTGTCCGTATGCGTCAGCCTGTATCCTCTTTGTTCCGAATAAGTGATAGTGGATAGCGGATGGGTGTGGCTGATAACTCTGTTTGTGTCCTCATTCATCAGCTGATACGCACACACCTGAAAGTTTTACTTTTTTTTTTAATTGAAAGGAAATATCAGTAATAAAAAGTATGTTTTTCGTGGGTATACCCCAGTTATGTATATTACTAAATCAAAGTTCTGGTTTATATATTATACTCATCAGTGAAATTAGACGATATCCTAATAAGCACCAATCAGAAACATAGTAAATTCTTCGTACAGCACAGAATAAAATCCTACGCCACTCCCTCAACACGAAAGGAAATCCTACACCAATCCTTGACACAGATGTCTCCTACTCTAACCCTCAGCATAGACAGCAACTTCCACTAAACCCTTACTTAAGAAACCCTTTCCCAAACAAGGAAACCAATCCCCACCAATCCCCAATATAGAAAAGGAATTCTAAACCATTCGCGAATGTAGACAGCAATCCCATACCAATCCTCCAACATGGAAAAAAAGAAAATCTACACCAATTTCTTGCATGAAAAGAAATCCTATACCAATCTTCAACACAGACAGAAATCCTTTACACCAAATCCCCAACATGAAAACAAATCTTTTATACCAACCCTCAACATAGATCTAAATCCTACACCGTCCTATCACAGAAATAAATCCGAAACACCAATCCCCAACACGGAAAGAAATCCCACATTAACCCCACACATGAAAAATCCTAAACATGGGAAATACAACAGCTACACAGACCCATCTTAGCTACGTTGTGGTCACGTGACTCGCCATATGACTGCCATCAAGCCCATAAATCACTGGGTGTTGGTCCTAAGCTAATAGTCGCCTTATAAGGTGTAAATGCTGAGAAGTAACTTTCATTTCGCACCTCTCACATGTTAAAGAAAGCCAAACAAATGAAAATGAAAACTGCTACTGTTGCTCCTTTCATTTCTATGTATTTATTGGTTTATTATCATTCTCATGCGGATCATCATTATCCTCCTTGCTATCATTTTTATCATTATCATTGTTGTCATTTTCTTTCAAAAATATTATCATCATTCTTGTTATCATCGTTGTTATCATTATTATCATCATTACTATAATTTTTGTTATCATTATCATCATCATTGCCATCAAAGTTATTATTGTTATCAACATTGCTATCATTATTATCATCATTATCAGCATTGCCATCAAAGTTATCATTATTATCATCATTGTTATCAGTTATCATTACTGTTATCATCACATTGCTATCGTTACCATTATAATTGAGGTTTAAGACGTAATACTGCCTATAATTTACATGTCCATATTGCCCTGAACAAGCCTACACGTTCACCCAAACCATAAAGTAGCAAGATTGCTCATGAGTATTGGCACACCAGGCCATCCTTCACCAGGCCATCCTTCGTGTTCAATGAAGTAGAAACGCGGGCGCAATAGGCCAGGATTAGCGGTTTGCTGGGCTCTGGGGAAGGGACTGTGAGTTCGATGTTCACACATGCGGTTCCATGCGGTATGTGCGGTCCCTATTGCATAAAAGTAAACATGTTGCGTGTCCAAATCACGTAAGCATGCACATGTATACACATATTCTTTCGCTCACGCAATTATTTACTCACATACATGCATACACTCATCTGTTCAATTGCAATAACACAAAATACACTCCCAACGCTCTATCCCTCACAAATACACTCATAACACACACACGCAATCATTTCCTCACATTGGCACACACTCATACACACTCACACTCACATAAACATTCCTGTGGACTCAGATGGTAATAATTACTAAGTATCCGACAGCTGCACAAGAACATATAATGTGACGTATTATATATATATATCTTAAGTCACCACCTGACAAAGAATAAATGAAAGTTAAGAAGCATTCTCATTAAATAAATAAAAACATAAAAATAGATAAATTATACTGAAGGGAATCCGATACAGAACAAAACAACGAACAAAAAGTAAGCATAGAAAACGGGAAATGACAATATATCTACGTCACAGTTGCGTCATCGTCTACAAACGTTGACAAGTTACCTCAAATCACCCCCACCCCCCCCACCACCACCATCCTCCCTTCCTTACCTTATTACTAGACTGTGAGGGTGTGAGAAGAGAAAAAAGAGGACGACGAAAGGGAAAACCAAAAGAAGAGAGAGAAAGTGTGTGTGTGTGTGTGTGTGTGTGTGTGTGTGTGTGTGTGTGTGTGTGTGTGTGTGTGTGTGTGTGTGTGTGTGTGAGAGAGAGAGAGAGAGAGAGAGAGAGAGAGAGAGAGAGAGAGAGAGAGAGAGAGAGAGAGAGAGAGAGAGAGAGAGAGAGAGAGAGAGAGAGAGAGAGAGAGAGAGAGAATGAGAGAGAGAGAGATTGTGAGAATTAGAGAGAGAGAGAGAGAGGAGAGAGAGAGAGAGAGAGAGAGAGAGAGAATCTGAGAGAATTAGAGAAAGAGATAATGAGGGAGAATGAGATAGATAGATAGATAGAGAGAGAGAGAGAGAGGACAGACACAGATATACACACAGTTCGGCATCGCCACGTTGTCTCAATGCGCCCGTTGATACCCGCTGATAACACGTGACTCGCCGTTGATCGCGCTTACAACTGCCAAGGGGCGTCGTCAATGAATATCCGGCGCGCACGTGTTGCTGGGCCTTCCTGTTATAATTACCTTAAGAAAATTCTCTAAATGGAGACAAATTACACATCCTGGAAGTCGCAGACCCACGTCAAAAGAATCGTTTTTCGTGCCAGTCATAGACTGCAGAGGGCTTTTGCGGGGGCGTGGTGGTGGGGGGTGGCGTGCGGGCGTGCGGGCGTTATAAGAGCCTCATGTGACAAACATCCCGTGAATGGACGACAGGATGGGAGTGCGTGCAACAACAGGAAGCTCCAGATCGGCTTGTCATGTCTCATAACAAGGCAGACGGTAACAGCCCACGAGGTTTCAGAGCGGGCGGCTTGGGAACACGTGCTGGTCATTAGAGCCGGGAAAACAACCCTTA